TGTTATAATAAATAAATAGATAAATTATTATAATTAATTATCAATCTAAAATATTAATTTTTTTATACCATTTATAATAAACAAATAAAAATATAGAAATATAAAGATACAATAATGATGCTGATGATAATAATAATAAAAACATCAAAATATTTGTCAAAATATTTACTAAAATGTTTATAATAAATAAATAAATCATATTGTAAACATGTTTTAATTTTTAAAACACACACATGCATATATATTTTACAGATTTTTTCCCCCAAATATTTTGTAAAAATACAAAATATATTATTATTAATTATTCAGCCCTTCAGACTGAATTTTGTTGAAACAAAAAAAGTCAAATGAGTTCCCGAGTTTAAAAGATGCGACCATTTTACCCATTAGAATAAACTGCAATAAAGGAGAAGCAGAAAGTGAGTTCCTGCAGGAGACGAGACGCGGCTCTGAGCGTGAGATCAGCAGGACTTTATGACAATTAGTGGAGGACACGCGCGTTCAGTCAGCGCCGCTCCTGCCGACTGAAGGACGAAGGTCAGAGTTCAACCGTCAGAAAGTGCTCGTTCACTCTCTCTCAGACGTCCTCCTGCTCAAATGTCAGCGGGATCTGATTCTGATGAGCATCTTACGCAGAACAGCTCTGAATCCAGAACGGCTTTAACACGCGCCTCCTCAAAGGCAGAGAAACGTCCGTCTGATCCGCGACAGACGCTTGAGTCAGAGTGAGACACCTCACCAAGAACAACTCATCACACTTACAAACATCTGCTCAAAGGCAGTGTTATTTGAAGCAGTGATATTTTAGTAAAGTTAATAAACTATTACAGTTTTTAGTAATACTTATATTTATATAGATATTAATTTTTATTTTTAGTGATTTTAGTACTTTAATTATTTAATACATTTTAAAAATCATTATTTTAGTACAACAAAAATGAGAAATGTTAACTTGTAACATTCTAAATTTTAGTTAACATTTATTTTATTTCAAGTAACAAAAAATGATTGTCTTTATCGTTTTTATTTCAGTTTTTTTTTTAGTTATGTTAGTACTTCAATGAAAATGATAAATGTTGCCTTAGCAATTACCTGAAAAAAAAAAATATATATAACTTTTAGTTAACTTTTCTTTTCTTTTTTAAGCAATAATTATTTAATTAATTAATTGTATATTTGTTGTTAATTGTTCTAGTTAACGCAATAGCCCTGGTCTCAGTGTGTGTGAATCAGTGTCAGAGTCCTCTGCACAATCTGACTTTGCTGCAGCCTGGAGTTGAACTGCTGGGTTCGTCTGGTCAGGGAGAACTGGCCCCCCGACTGAGCCTGGTTTCTCCCAAGGTTTTTCTCCATGCTGAAGCGCTCCAGTGTGAAGGTGCAGTGCAGGTTCCTCTGAGAGCCACTCCACACCTGCTGGAACGCCAGCTCCTGCCATACACACACACACACGGACACACACACAGACACACACACACACAGACACAGACACCCACAAACGGACACAC